GGGACGGCGCCGACCTCACACACCCCACCCTGCACCTTTCCGGGCTGTCCCCGTTTGCAGCTGGGTGACGTGAAAAGAGAGGCCGGAGCGAACGTTTGCAAGCCGGGAGAGAGACGGCTCCGTGTACATCGTGGGGCCGCGGGAGGGGAGCTCCGCACCGAGCCGGCCTCTACAGTAGCTTTACTCGAACGGTGAAAGACCCTTCGGCGTGCCAAAGTTTGTCGGCGATGTTCTCGGAGGAGAGCTGCTCCGGCGCTTCACGGTGGAGGTACAGCTGCAAACGGCCTCTTCCCACACAACGTTTATTCTCAACAACAAAAAAAGCCTCAAACCGTCTGATTCATGATCTCGTAAAATATAAACCATTCACATTAAATGGGCAGCAACAGGCAAAAATGTAACGACTGTCTCAATGGCTCAGCCCCATTGTCTGAATTAAATCATGCAGAGATACTAACAAAACTCGGCAAAGGAAGCTATACATTTCCTCAAGTTTAAAAATAACTTGTTTTGCTTTTTTACAAGTGAGGTAATAGCGGGCCTCTGAGCTGGGCATGTGCTGCTGTTACACTTTAATATTAGAGTAGTAACCCAGCTTCTACTGCTCTGGTCTGCAGTTAGGATGCACCTTCTGTTCCTAGTTAGTATTCAATAGGTCCTTCAGCAAATTACATTGTCTTATGAGGGAAGACAGGTAATTTCAGATGATCTCCAACACAAATAAGGGACTAGCATAAGTAATTTACAATGAGCAAGACAGGGTTTGCCAGTGTGGGCAATGGTCTGTAATCAACTAAGCAGAGCATAGTTTTGGGCTTCTATTAAGCCTGCTAGTAGTTGCAATAAAAGATATTATGCGTCCCACCAAATTTTATGTCATGTCATTAGATAATCAAAGCTACTACACTGTCAGTCTCCACAAGAGTAAAATGCTAGCTGCCGAGAAAGAGGGGTTTGGTTTGTTCTTCTAATAGTTCAAGTTCAGAAGCATGCACACTTACAGGATTTTTTTGCAAGCCCTGTGGAGGAACGTTCTAGAAACTTCTGTACTTCCTATTAAGAAATATATTTTTCTTACATGCTGATTCAGCTTCTTTAGTTCTTAACTTCTTATGAAAGTATGCATATGACTGGGGGCCTGCTAATCCGAGTTCTGCCCAGTGAAACAGAAATAACTTTAAAGTAATACAGGTAGAGTAACAGTCATTTGCTGCCCAGAAGTCTTCTGTAAACTACTGGCACAAAGTCAGTCTAAAACACGGCTGAAGTTGAAGTTTTATTACAGTTCTCCTGCTATTTACTTCATGCTTAGTGCATCACATGTGATGATAAAAGGTACTGACAACTCCTTAATAAATGAAATTTGATGGCCATAAATTGACATCTGACTTGATTTTTCAGAGACTGTTTGTCTGAAACAAGTTATTTATAATGTCAAATCCCTTCATTTTACAAATTGATTAGCATTTTAGTCTCCTCAATATCTGTATTAATAACTTCACTAATGATTTCATCACTTACCAGTTGTTCTTTTTAATAAGGTTTCTTTCAATCTTATGAACACTGAGCAATACCTTCAGCCACAAATCTTGTTTTGTTATATGATAAACCACAGCTAGCTTATCTTCTTTATCAATATTAGAATATACAAATGCATAAGTCATAGTTTGCAAGTCAGTATTTAAGAGTAATGCACCGAAGAAACAGATAACGTTTTTGGTGCTTATGCTTTTCTTCAGGCCTGAAATAGGAGGAGCAAACTTCAGAAGTCATTCTCAGCTTGTACGGATTCCTCCAATTTTAACTAGATATTCAGAACAGTTGAAAAACAGCCAGTTGGTACCAGGACAACAGATGAGAAGTGAGAGAGATAAGAAAGAACATAGAAAGTAAAATAACTATCTTTCTAAAAGCAAAGAGCAAGGCAGGTAAGTAGGTAAGTTACGGTTTGCAAGACCAAAACCAGCACATCTTCCCTTGAGGATGAGCACTAAAGACTCAGACAGGAGGTAGATATTTTGTCAGAATCATTCCTTATCTGGTAATAATGTGGGTTTGTCCTTCATTAGTGGGTTTATTCTGACACGTAGCACACAGTTTCCACAACAGTTTTTGGTAAACTGGATGAAAAACATTGCTCCCTCTTAGCTCTACTCCCTTTTACTACCTTTATCCACAAATGTCATCTGGGTTATGACTTTAGACCAGACCATGGCAGTTACTACAAATCATGAAACATTTGTGCAGACATAGTCACATTCTTCGGACTTAAAATAGGTACATCAAATATCATTTAAGAAAGAATTTTTATTACTACTACAGCATTATTCCTGATGAGATTTTAATTCCAGATACATTTCTAGTCACATTTTATCAGTTGACATTTAGATCATTTTTATGCCTTTGATGTTTTTCCAGCAATGGAAAAGACCATACAGGATTTTAATGACACATTCTATCTGTGTAGATAAAATGCATAGTTGGTAGCCCTTCTTCCTTCTCACAGCTGGATAATTTTAGCAGGCAGCAGACAGCCTGACCTTTGTTGTGCAGGCCAGATGCAATATGCAGACAAATATAGGGTTTTAAATAATATCTTGGCTTCCCTTACACTGAAATCCTGTGACTCTGACAGATAATCAAGAACAAAACAATGTGATGGAGTACAGAATTAGCTGGCTGTTGATAAGTCTTCTTTCCTGCAGGGCATACACATAAGTAAGCACACACAATTCAGTTACAGGGAGAAATAAAGAAGTTCTTTTAAGCAGTAAGATTTCCCTACTACCATATATAATTGTCCAACTAAGTTTTTGAAGACTGGAAAGAGTCCAAATCTTCTTAATCCAGGAATAAAAGATTCGCCAATAGTTTTACATGAGGAAAACTGCAAATAATATCACCAAATAATCATGACCTTATGTTCTCTGCATAATTCCTGGTGGGGGGAAAAAAAAAAAATCCTTAGGTAATTTGTATTTGAAAGTAATTTTCAAAGGTATCTGTTTTGAAAGTAATAATCTTCTGTCATACTTCTGCTTGACTCAAAGGTATTTAAGTAAGAGCATCAAATTAAAAACTTCATTTGTTAAACTAACTCACAGATGATGCCAGTAGACAGAAAGGAGGGAGGAAATTCTTTGTTTCTAGCACTGGCATCATGACAGTTCTTCTATGGATTTAATCTTTATTCCATTTAATAGGATTTAGAAGCTCAGATTTTCATTAGGACAGGTTAATGGTCAAATGTGAGGAGAAAAGAAAAGAAACACAGTCTCCTGAGAAACAAAATGCACTATCTTTTGCAGGTGTTTTGTCACATTCTCAGTAGGTTAAACAATGAGCACCAAGGGGCTGTTGTCTAGACTTAAGCCTTGGAGCCTGCTGGATTTGAGAAACCTGTTAAGATCATGTGTTTCAGGCACAACATTCCTTCAGCAAGCTTCAGGCCTACACCAACATGTTCCAAAAGCAATCTCATGACTGTGAGAAGCTGTTAGAATTTGCAAACTGAAGGGTTCATCAGCATTCTTAGTGGCATACATTTCACTATGAAAAAGAAGTTTAAAAAGCCTTCTACTCCCAGTTTACAAAACATGCCCAGTCGAGTCTTTTATTTATTTATTTTTAAAGTTTGGGTGGGGTTTTTCTGCACAGTGTCACTTTTCATACACAATAATGAGACAGTATTCATCTTAGTTTCAACTTGTAGCATTCTGTATCAAAAGCATACTTGTAACATTTAAAAAGTTACATTTACAAAATTGGCACATTCTTCCAGTAAGATTTATTAAAGGTTTAGTAACGACATCTATACAATGTCTAGAAAAATACCATGTTAATTTTAAAACAAGCAGTAAGAAATTTTTATTACACAGTACAAAGACAGTGTTAGATGTCTCTAAAGATGGTATTGTATTATAAATAATCATTTAATCACAAAGAATATAGTGTCAATTCTAACAGAAATGTTCAAAAAGACCTCATCCCTCTTCCAAGCTTTTGTCAAGAGTATAATCCTCAAGATATTTTATACTACAGAATTCATTGTAACAAAATAGTTACTGCAAAGTTCGTGATCGCCAAGATATAAAGCTAAAATACGTATTTCCAGCATAGCAGGAGGTAACCACAAAGGCAAAGAACTGTAGAGAGAAAGGAAAAAAACATATATTAGGAAAAAAACATACATTTGAGAGCACTGTCATTTCTATAACAACAACAACAACAAAAAAAGAAAAAAGAAAAAAAGAAATAGTTATGGATTTGGAAAAAGGAGAACAGCAGGCTCAGTAAAATGGCACTTCTGCACCTTCTTGTACTTGTGTGGCCATCACAGTCACACTATGTAAGCAACCTTATATTATGCATAGAAATATGGGCCTAGAAGCAGCCAGAACATGGCATATTTCAACTCTTATCTCCACATCGTACTGCCTCAATATGGATCTTACAGACTGGACTCCCATCAATCCTAACCTTGCTGCTTTTAACATCACTTGCTGGTAAAGACTGAGGGTTAGTCCATGGGACAGTGTGAGCTCAAGCTAACACTCCTGCACTGCTGCTATGTTCCAGGAATTGCCTACAGCCCACCTGTATGTCAATATAGCACACTGAGTCAAAATAGGTTGGTTTCCTGAGAAAACTTGGATTCAAATGCAGGCCCAGATGTGTTCTCAAACTGCAGTACCGAGTAGGTTACCGATTCCAAAGGTCCTCTACTGGTGACTAAAGTACTCCTCAGTGCAAGCAACAGTGACAGCAAACACTACTTTGTCAAAAATTGGTTACAGAATAAGCCTTCTGTAGCAGGCTAGATTTATTTTATGTTTAAAGATTAAAACTACACAGTATCAGTGGTGCTGCTTCTGCAGTCCATGCAGCATATGCACACAGACACCAAAGAACAGCTGTGAACTATTTCAGTGGTACTGATAAAGTCCAGTTCAGTGCCAGTGGTTAAGTTAATCACTACATGTTGTTCAAAATAGACCATGTTCAAAACGGTCTTATGATAATCCCAGAATGTTTTGTGCTGGTAACTGAACCAAATAAAGCTGACACTGCAAACAGAATTAACAGTACTTTTCTTAGATGTGAGCAATAATAGGACAAGAGAGAAAACCACAAGTTACAAGAAGGGACATTTCAAGCAGATATTAGGGAGGAAATCACAGCGACAGTAATCAAACATGGCAACAGAGGCTCAGAGGCACTGTGGAATAGCCATCTTTGGAAATACTCAAAACTCAAGTGGACAAGGCCGTGGTATCCTGATACGAGTTAGCTCTGCTTTAAGGGAGAGAGTTGGACAAGATAACCTCCAGAGCTTTCTTCCAGCCTAAAACTGTTTTATGATTCTACCAATGTTTCTTGCTTATATACCATCATTGGCCTGGGTAGGCACTTCAGCTCTGAGAGCAGGGCACTACTAAGCATGCATACAGGCAGCAAATCTAAGCCCTCCAACAGTGGGTTCTTGGTGAGTCCCATCTAATATAAATTTCAATTAAATTTACATTAGACAAGACTCACCAAGAACCCACTGTGGCACCAAAATCTGCAGATGATGATGTGAAATCTTATTACAATAGAAATTTGTAGCAGTTGTCTTCTCCAATAATTTTGTCTCTTACAGAATAAAAGCTCTACCTAAAGTCTTTAACAGAATGACTGTTGGGGATAGAGGATTTGCTGAATTCTCACAAATGTCTAGCCATGAAACCCTTAATGGGTTCAGAAAGCAGGAATTTACATTTAATAGTTTATTTAGACAGTGCATTAGATAAGCACTATTAGGAGGTATTAGCAGAGATTCCAAGCATCCCATGAGACACTGAGCATTCATGCATTTTGCATAAAACCTGAATCAGCATGGAAGCTTATTTAGCAACAAGCAAGTTCCTGTCAACAGCAGTGACTGAGTAACAGATCAGTAGTTACGTACTGCCAGGGGCAGAAGACCCTGAACACCTCTGAAATGACAGGGATGTAGTTATCCAATTCCCAAGAAAACAACATAGCAGGTGTTCTTCAAGTCTCTGTGTTCATGGCCATATACAATAATCTTCAGACAGAAGACAGGATTTGTGAACAGTCCAGAGAGGACAACCACAGAAGCATGAACAGTCAGCAAAGTAGCTGTAATTCAGAATTACTGGATACAACCGAATTTGACCGCTGTTGCCACAACATGCAAAAAGTTCTTTTACAACTTAGCTAGAGAATGTGTTCACCTATTTAGCAAGTGACAAAGTTGTTTTTCACTTACTTTCACTCACTGCTTTGTATTTCCAAATCTAAGTAGTAAGACTTATTAGTGATTTGCATCCGTTTTAAAACAGTGGGAAGTTACATGATTTTTCAGGCACTGTTCACCCAACTCTGAAGAAAGACTATCAAAAGATGAGGCTGTAACAGGAAGATCACTGTAGAAACAGCAATACCACTTCGGGACCTTCCCAAAGGCACTCTATATGTGGCTCAGCACACAAAAAGCTGAATGTATCTTATCCACCTGCAGGCAAAGTTAGCCAAGTCAGTTTAAACTGCTTTTGAAGTTGCCCAACTTTCACTGCACTGACGTGACTCAGTGCTCACACAGTCTGTTTCATCTACTCTGACATGCAGGCTATAACCTCTGTCAGAGAGCTAGTGACAAATGGGGGCAAGTGAGGGGAAAAGCAGTATGATCTTAAAAACATTACAGCCTTTCCTGATCTGTCATCTCCTGGTGGAATTTCTAGTCACAGCCAAAAGACTATAAACTAAATTACAGCTGTCTATAGGTTTCATGTGTGAGCTTCTGTATCAGTCCACACATTTTCCAAATCCAGAGCACACACATTTCAACCCACACTTCCAGTGAGCATCTTTTGATACAACTTTACTGGACAGAGAACTGATTTAAACAAAAAATGAACTCACTGAAGAAGCTGCCCAGCTGTTGTAATTGTGACTGTCCAGTTCTTTGGTAACTGAAGATGCATCTACAATGGCAGCAATGAGGTACAAAACGAAGGCACTTCCATTAAAACATAGACCCTGTTGAAAAACCAAATGACATAATTAACATGCACATGCATTTGTTACCATTTCCTATTCCAACATTAAAAAATTCTCCCCTGAAATATAACATACACATGTAATACACACAAGAAGTATTATTCTTAACTATTTTTACCTTCTTCCAAGTTCCTATCTGTAAGATTAAAATGTAACTGCTTGTTTTGAGGATCCGTAAACATTAAGGCACCTTTCAGACAAAGAGTTCTCTCCATCACATTAAATCCAGAGAAGTCTTAAAGCTGGTGTGTTGTGGTTTTCCAAAAGTGAAAATAAGGACACAGTTTGGTTATCACAATCTAAGCGTTAGGCAGTAAGAATATGACCTTACATGAAAAACAAAACTGCAATTTATTTACATTTCTAATCTCCACAAAGATACACTGTAGGAATCAGTAACTTGTGGCATGTGAAGAATATTTGTAAAGCTTCCAAATCTTAATTTTTTCCACTTCCGGAGATAAAGAGGGTGGAATTTTTTTCCAGTCGTATTCTCCCACATTTCAGTACTTCTCCTTTCTGCCTGATTTTGAGGGGAGAAAGAAACAGGCAAAACCAAGGAGAACAGTCTGAATGGACTACATGGGTCATCAAGACCCATCCATGGCAGATGATGCATTTTCTCTTCCGAGGTGCAGTTAGTTGCAGGGTACCTACACTGATTACTAAGAAAGAAGCAAAGCTGATAATGCTGATCTCAGATAACAGTACAGAGAACAAACAAAACCAGTTTGTTCTGGTTTTGCATGTCAGAGAGAACAGGAAAGGAAGAGAGAACTGAAGCCTAAGAAGATGAAAGACACATAATAAGGTATGAGGGGTTTTTAAAAGTATGTAATTTTAATACTTTGTCCCTTACTCACTACTTGGCCATGGCTAAAGGAAGTTCATTCTTACAAAGAAAAAAGAAATCCCCCAGAACTCCACCCTGCTGCTTGTCTAAGACACATGAATTTGGCCATCAAATATACTTTAGTTCTCTGGTGCCATGGTTAAATGGAATACCTATGACATACCTAGTTACAACTGCAGGAATTGGTGACTCAATTACACCAGGTCCTAGTGATGTACATGATCTGCTTCCTTCAGCTTCTGGCCCCATGTTTGCACTCTGGAGTGCCACACAAATATCATAACCCTTAACTCTGTTGCCCTGGCTATCTCTACATGCAGCCATACTAGCACAGCTCCAACTTACTAAATTCCATGGTGTGACACAGTGGGTGCTAGGAATATATGAAAGTTATTCACTATTGACTTCACTAGTCACCAAAGTCTTGTCAGAATCTTAAAGAAAGCCTGAAAAGTTCAGAAAGCAGCAATCACAGCTGTATCCACATCAGCGCTTCCCTCCGTGCACCAAAGCATGGATCAACCTCTTGACATGTCTCTTATGGAAGCGCCTCACATCCATCTCCAGGACATTTAGTTCTGGCAGAGTTTACTTCAGACTTGGTGGAGCGTGGCCCACTGCTGCACACGCCTGTGACACGCAGGGTTCAAAACTTCCTGAAGGGAAGCCATTCCTCAGACACAGGCTTTCTCAACTGCAGGCCCCTCCAGGGAGCAGCATGCTGTGCTGTCATCTTTCCACGTGTCAGTCTTCAGGTCACCACCAGCTATGTGAGACTTCACATGCAAAAAGCCCTCTTACAGCTTTCAGTGCAAGCTGAAGGACATGCCTGTCCTCCTGTGGCTCCTAAGTCCTTGTAACGTCAGAGCATTTGGAAAAGAGCCATGTATCCACCCTTCTGCAGGGAACCACAGGCAATGCCTCAGCACTCAGATGGAATCCAAGGCTTGGCACTTGAGATTTGATTCCCACACTTATAAACGAGGGTGTTTCTCTCACCTATATCAGATGATCTAATAAAAGGTATTATCTCTATCCACAGATCTGGCCTCTCTTGTTTTATTTAGGCACTGCAGTAATTAAACAAACGGTCAATTTTAAGATAAGATGCCAGCAATTGGCAAGTTCAGCTGAATTTCTGTAAAGCACTGATTTTCAAACTCCAAATTTGGTTGCCTAGAGTATTTGTTATGATTTTTTAGCTTTCCCATTCCAAAAAGACTCAAATACCCAAAGCTACAAATTCCTGCAATATCTTATCATGGAGAAGAAAAAAAAAGCACATAATTTTTGAGAAGTGCTGCTCTGGGAAATAACACTGTTGGGGAAGATGGAATGCAATGCAAGCTGATTGGGCCTTTACTGCCAATATATTACTCAAACCAAATGGTTCATGCTAAATTACCATCTGCTTCTTAAATTCAAGTTTACCAGATTTTAAAAGGTTCCATTGATTGTTTTAGCAAAGAACGTGCACTATTAAGGAGAGTCGGTTTTGAAACACATCCTTTGGGTTAATTTGCAGTAAAAGCAACTGCATCTTAAGCAATTTGGTAATGTGCTTAAGCTGCAAAAAGTGAATTTATGACAGAGAAGTCCAGATGTAATTTTGGATACTGCATACAATAGGCATCGTTTGAGCTAACTGTCGCCTAAGGAAGCAGAGCAATAACTAGCAGAGACTGAAATTCAGGATACTTCAGAGAATGGGGGAAGGTGGGCATAATCTCACTCACTCAGAAAGGTGTATGTCATGCTCTCCTGATTGAAGACATTAACACCTCTCTGAAGAGACCCAACCTTTCTCTTGGCCAGCCAGGAGTGGCAGAGGTCAAATTCAAAGGCTGCTCCCAACAGCCTTTGAATCTTACCTTAGGGAAAAACAAGCTTGAATGCAAGCATCTTTTATTTATTTTGCATTTAGTTTTTCTTCATATTACCCTTTACTTTAAAAGGAGACTACCTTTTGCACCTACATTTATGTGATCTTATCTACACTATGCCTGGAACTCAGAGCAAGAAATACACTCAGTATGAAGTAGAAACAAATCAAATACTCCAGCTTGTCTACTACATAGATCAGGGGCAACTTATTGACATGCAGCTGCTGTCTGATAAAAGTGTTAAACTGATGAAAGAGGGACAATGACTAAAACTGTATCCAAGTGGATACAAAGATGCTTTCCCTTTGAATGTGCTTTACTTACATCTAATGCAATGGGGAAAAAACAACCAACCCACACCTTTAAACGCACCCAGACGCATTACTGCTGTAATTGAAACAATCCAACATTTCTATAGCAGTGTTATAGCCTTAATGGTAATTGCTGGTCATGAAACTTGAAAAAAAGAAAAGCTGTCTGAACATTAGCCTGGTTGTTCTTATTAGTAATTGCTCTAGCTGGCTATTTATTACAGCAGCAAAGGGGAAGACTAAAAGGAAAGATTGTTCCATTTTAGTCATGTACACAAGATAGTCGATAACAAGCTGCTTGCAACGCAACAGTCAAATATCACAAAAATAACAGAATTCAAGTCAATAATCTTTAGCTAGTTACAAAAAAAAAAAAAAAAAAAAAAGAAATAAGATAACAGCATCTCACTGTATCAGGGGCAAATGCAAAGCTAAAATTTATAATAATTCTTGGATGGGTCCCAAACAGCCAGTTGGCCGAGATGACAATGACTTTTAGGATCTATTACCCTGAACACCAGCCTGTTATGAAAATCATGTAAAAATATACCATTGAGAGGTACAGCTAGCCAGGTTTGCTCAATCCACGGAAAACTGGATCTGAATTTTAAGTGCATGTGAAATTTTTCTGTAATTACATTGGCTGTTTATCTGACTTGCATTAAGTCTTGAGCTAAAAGCAAAGGATTACGTAGTACACATTTTACATTTATATATATAAATACCACTAATTTTCAGCACCACTTTCACAGTAGACTATATATGGATTCTCACTGTTGTTACCTCTGAACCACCTTTGCTTTTACTGTTTTAAAAGCCAGGGTCCCACTTCCAATTCATGGTGTTGATTCAAATAGGGATTTCTGCTGTTTAAAACATACGGCCAGGTCTGTTAGCTCAGAGGCAGCAACAGACTTACTCTTCATGGGATGTAATCACGACAGGGAGCAAAAAAAGGCACTATGCATAAGTATCAGTCACGCATACATCATTAAAAATCAAGTCACTGCATCAACCGCTGAACAAAACAGTGAAACATCATAGGAAAAGTGTTCTAAAAGTGTCTGGGTAGTATGAAGGTTAAACACTGCAGGTATGCAGACACACAGTAATTAGGAAAAATTCTGTAAAAAGCACAAGTACAGTTGGTTAACTACATCCATAGAATGCGTTAGTATTTTATTCTCTTTGTAATGCAGCAAATCTGAAACAACAAAGAATGGGCATATTTACCACTGTGGTCCATGGCACCTGCGGGATCCTGGTGTAGGTCATTGTCATGTAGATGATCAGAAAGAAGACTGTGAGAACCCAATAAAACACAGCTACAAACATCACCCAGCCAAAGGCTGGATATAGAAAGTATTCTGTTCCAGCAATCAGGGTCCACACCAGCAGCCCCAGTACCTGCAAAAGTTATGGAGAAGAAAGGAAATAGTTACAGTCTTAGACCTCGTACATTTGTTCTAGGTCAAGGAACACCACCACTGCCGTTCACATAACCATTTGATGAGCTGATTTGGGATGCTACACTGAGAGAATACTAATCTAACAAAGAAGAAAAACATATAAAACTGTTTTTTTCTGTGGCAGGGTGTCACAAAGGGAAAGGCAGAATGAGGCATCCCAGTGATGATTTAGCTCACCTTTAACTGCTATGGAGCCATACTTGCAATGGTTTTAAAGCTAGTTCTCAAAAGGATTGCTTGTTATAGCCTACTAGCTTACATGCATAAAGGTAAATACTACTGTTTTGCAGTCAGTGAAGTCACTTTAGAAACAGAAGCCTGTGAGGGCCTACTGGGATCTTCAGGCCCCATCTGCCACAGTCACAGGTAACTGGAGTAGTTGGGGTCTAGTTCAAAATGGTTCATGCCTCCTCTGTGGAGTGACAGGCACCACAGACACACAACAACTCCTAGGACCTATTACAGTCCTAGGAGACTAGGACTATTTACTGCTATTATAGTAGAAAATACTGGGACCTAGTATCAACAAAATATCAACAGCTACCACCACTGTAACATGCTGCTGGACCACAGCAGCTTGGGTTGGAAATGTCATTATATTTCACAGTTCTTAAAATACCTCCCAAATGACCTGATCCTAAGTAGCAGACAAGAACTCATACTCGAGCTAAGCAAACAGCTCTGGGGAAAAAAGCTCCCTTCCTGATCCTGAATCTGGCAATCTGTTCACATCTAAGACGAAGAAACACAGGTATTTTAAACATACTCTCTCCTATTATTTCTAGTGATCTTTAATTCATTAAGAGGGATGAGGAGCAAATAAAACAGAAGTCATATGCCACAGGAAGAAAAGCTGTGTGTTTTGCAAGTTGTCCAGCAGTTAGAAAAATCTTATTTACAAAAAGAAAAAGGTATTTTATACCTTAAAACCAACAACAGTTCATCCTTCAGATTTCCATCCAAACTTCATTCAGCCCTCAATTTGTTGCCTTGTGTGTTCACAATATACTCCTGTACGTTACTTACACATTCATCCACATCTGCACTATGCATACATAAAAGCACCACACAATTGTCTGTTTCACTCTTTTTCTTTCTGGTCTTGTAATAGAGAAGGCACATAATGGTATTTTTAAGAGCATTCTTTTCCATCATTTTCACCGATTCAGCAATTTCTTTTTAGAGGAAGCCCTAGAATTGTTCTGACTGGGATAAAAGCCTACGTTCCGCAGCATACCAGCGGAGGGCAGCATTGCCTCATAAGAACGTTTCAAACAGCATTACAGCATCACCGGATTGAGTAATTTAAAATACACGCTATTATTTAATGCGAAGTTATCGGTTCAGCAGTGCTTCCTATAGTTAATTTTAATTCTGGTTCCAACAACATTTTACTAATAGTAGCAATTCAGTTAATAATGCCCCAAATTGCATGAACTCCCCATGATTAGATTAAAAACCAACTCAATTTTAGTCTAACATCTGAAGATGAAACAATCTTGATAGACTAATAAAATCAGCTAGCAAAATACCATTTTCTTAGGATACAAAGTTGCTTTTCATTGTGCCCATCTGCTTTAATCCAAGTTTAAATTCATCATCCAGAAATTATACCAATGAATAATTGTCTCACACTTGACAAGTAATTAAAGACAGATATATCCTAGATCTGAATATCTAGTAAAATACCAAGAACAGAAACTTCGAAGATGACACAGAGAAAACAAAGAACTTAACCATCATTAAGGACCATAACCTGCTGACAACAGTGTTGGGTTTTAGAAAGCTTTTGAAAATAGAAGTAGACTTTTTCATAAAAAAAGCACAAGACTATGAAAAATAGTCTCAACACTAATATTAGTGTTTAGTCTCAACACTAAATTCAACATAAGTAAGATTGATAAGGACACCTCAGATTATGTAATGGATTATTTCTGGAAAGAGTAAAGACTTCCCAAGCAGCAAATAATTAAAGCTGAAAAGGGAAAATTTGAGGTTACGTGAGACCACTGATCTTACATACCACACAATGAAGCTAGCAAGACAGTAACTACGTGATTGGTACTCTCACTGGTCAAACTTTTTTTTCCAGTTATATTCTAAACTGGTGTTATCACCCCTTTTTCAAGATCATTTTAATATTGAAGTGGCTGCACATCTCGCACTTATTCCAAAGAATTGCTTTTAATGCACGTTTTTAGCTAGCCTGTATCAATGGCAGAACAATTTATCTAAGCAATTGAGATGCACCACAGATGTTACAGATTTATATTCTTAACCAGTTCCTGGGTTCATATACATCATAACTTCGATGGCTTGCATATTAGAGTGCGTCTGACATTTTCAGTTACATCCAGATACTCTTACTGCATATTACTGGAGCTGACAGGGTGAAATAATATTTCAGATTTCTTGATTAGACCTGAAAAGGTCAGATCAGCTCATGGTCAACAATTCACTGTGTGTAGTTAAATGATACAGCAAATCGTTTTATTGCATACGTAAACATACACAATAAATTGATATAAAGTTCACGCATCTAGAGAACACCTAAGGAGCCAAAGGAACACAGACACCTAGACAAGTCTCTTGTGATTAGCTTGTAGTCTCAGCATATTAAATACTGAGATAGCTTCTGTAGTATTAAAAGCCTGTCTCATAATATTCTCACTGTCATTTGCTGTTCAAGAAACTGGATGACACTTGTGCATCTGCTGGAGCCAAGAATGCTGCTTTTCCTGCTGATTTGATAACAAACCTCCCCACTGGGAATAACTGGACTATATTTAAATGCCATCTCCATCAGCATCTAGTGTACAGAGCCTGGCAAGTGAGTGACAGGTATACAACACCATAAAGCAAACACCAGCAACTGCAATACCTGGGGAGTGCCCACAGTGATTCAGCGTGTACAGCATGTACACAGCTACCTTCACTGCTTCAGATCAGCTGACAGACAAGGGAGACAGCCCCACTTAGCACGTGGGAAAGGCCTGTATCTCTTTATAACCAGGTATGCTAGAGTGCATTAGTAATAGCTAAGTATTCGATTTTAATTTATGAGCATGTCAGAATACTGAGCTTATTTAGAATTACAGGATCATACTATGATCCTGTCAAAATGAGTCTGAGAGGGAGGAAAAGGCACCAACACCACGGAAGAAAATAATACATGTGGTAGTTGATGGGAGGGGACACTGGGTCCTAAGGCTGTCCTAAGGGCTCCAGCAACTGGGTCCAGTTTCTCAAGTCAGATGGGAGACAGGGATTTCACTCAGCATACAGCAAAAGCAAGCAGTTTTCCCTTGTTTACTGCAGTCTCCGACTTCAACTCGGTCATGTATTTTGTGATCATCTGTCAGCTCCTGCTTCATCAGGTACCTCCATTACTAGAATGCATTAATATGTCAAATGTACTAATGCATGCTTCAGCATTTGGCAGACACCATAAAAAGGAAATAACTTTGTAGCAAAGTCCAATATTATTGAGTGTGCAGGTTTAAAATTAGATGCTTAATTGCACATTCCAACCCTTAAATAAGCACCATAATTTATCCACGGTGCTAAGAACTTCAGAAGTATCAGACTATTTAGTCACTTAAAAACCAATAAAGGATTTGTTGCCTAGTAGATGTGACACATCTTGTCTTCTGTCACTGGTACAGGTCAGCAGGTATGAAAGCAGGTGTGAGCTTGAATCCATGTATCCAGTTTTGGTTTTTGAAGCAAACTGCAGAACTGAATTTGTACTTGTAAACTGTATTTAAAAGCCTACAATGTCGTGACTCCTCTCCAGTGACACTAGTGTTACACATTCTGCAGCATTCATCTTGACTGGTTAACTCAGCAGCACAGTTCCTTTCAAAGGAAAAAAAGTGTCATTGTAGCAGAACTGACAGGGAGGAAACCCCAAGGCTCATCTAGTTTCATGAAATAAACAAAGAAACGAACAAATAAAACAAACAACAACCCCCCCCCCAACTATTTGGCATGTTTGCCTGAAGCTTTTCCTATTCTTTATCCTAAAGATGCTTCCTAGGACCATTTCAATTCCCTCTATGCATAAGTATTACAGGATTTATACAGCGTTGCTACTGGCACAGATGGAAATGATGGTAGAAGGAGAGCAGAAGAGTTGTACATTTGCAGCAACAGTTGTCTCCTTTATTCAAGACATCTAAACATGAACAGAATCCAGCAAGTAGAAAGCAAGACGTCTTGGGTCTCCTTCTCAAGAAAGAAGACTTAGAACTAGAAGAAAGAGAGATCATTCTAAATTATTGCACAGCATTATTTCACAAGTTAGGAACTACCTCAACAGCAGCACATGTAGTCTCAATCTTAATAATTTTTTTCCCTTGCCTACTTTCCGCAGGCAAAAAGAAAACCAGGGAGTCTCCTGAGGGCAGGGAGCGCAGGAACATTTCTCACACTTGCTCCCTAGTTTCTTATCTCACCTTCCACAGCCCTTGGGAAGAGACGTTGGAGATGCTTTTCATCAGGCGCTAAGAGGGTAAGCAAGAATCCCTAAGGGCAGCCAGACTAGCAGTTCAGCACTATAGGGACTCCACTTACTTGATGTTGACCAGGCACATCACAAACAACCCTTGGGTGTTTGTAAGCATTTGGTAAGATTAGCAAACGTTCTTCCAAACGTGTGTGTGACATGGATCACACACCAAAACTTATACACACCAAAACTTATACTTATCTTATACTGTGAATCAAAAAAAGAGAAAAAAAAGGCGGGGGGAACAGGCATTCTTCTTCCATTGCTTCTGTGAGACATGCCTAGGACAATCAGTTGTAAGAACAGGCAGATTTAACTGTCTTATATTTGACAGATATAGAATGATTTGCTTTTTCTTCCAGCAATGGAGTAACTATTTGCACTACAAATAATGTCTTTAAATCGACTTTTTGTTCTCTCATACCCGACCTATG